TAATTTTTGGATAATTCGGATCGGATATCTAAATTTTTTTAACGAATACGAGTCAAGCAATGCCCTACTTGTGATCTACTTGCTCGAATTTAATATCATAATTTATGTTTGCCATGCATAAGCCAATAAAATATATAAATACGACCTTCATTTATATACGTAATCTTGACAAATCTTTTGATTTTGTCAAAGGTATGGTAGAGGGGATGTCTAAGGTACGGCAGAACTAATATACGACTAAGAAAATACTCTACCGAAAATGTTAATTATTTTAAATATTTATGGTAAAGCGCTACTTAAAACATTATTTTTCTTCCGAAAATATTAATATTGGACGCTAACTAAAATGTTATTTTTTTCTACCGGAAATTAGGTAGCGGAATTATCATTTCCGGTAGAAAAAAAATAATGTTTTAGGTAACACTTTATTGTAAATGTTATAAAAACATTAACATTTTCGGTAACGTCTTTTCTTAACCGTATATTAGGCTGTCGTACAATAGAACTACTATTTTGGTTGAGGATTATAAAAATTATCTCTTATGAAATATCATAAAATTATCTATACGTAAGTATACTAATTTGTCTTTTAATATATCATACAAGTCTATGAAAAATAAAGATATATATCATAAAGATATAATTATATTCAAATATTAAAAAGAAAAAATCAACAATCGACGATCAATATTAAAATTGATATTGTCTCTAACTAAACAAAATTAAAGAAAAAAATAGTCTAGTCTGTAATATTAACTTTTTATGTGTTTAAATATAATTTTTTTAATTAAAAACAATTACATATACACATATATTGTTGCAACCCGATCTCTCTGTGTGTGATTTTTACCTATTTCGATATCTATTTTGTCATTCTTCTTAATAATTCCACACTATTTCTGATTTCCTTCAATTCAGTCACTGTATCGTCATTACTTGTATTTTCCTTCAATTAAATTTGATCAGTACTACTTCTATTTCCCTTCAATTTGGTCCCTACAACTCCCTCACCCAAATACTCGCCACAAACTATGGATCCCCACTAATCGTCAACACTCATAATCAATTTAAAATTGATTCCCTCTTCCCAAATGAAAAAAATGTTAATAAAAATCTCGTTATTTTCTTAAAGAAATCATTCTAAGTTTAAATAATTTATTCTGATTTTGAATAATAATTCACTATATTTTATGCTAAAATTTACAACACTTGTATTTGAATATACAAGTTTCAAAATGGGTTAAATAGATCATATCATAAATTTTTTAAATGGGTTAAATAATATTTAAATAATATTTTTAACAAAATTATCACAACAACAACAACAACAACAAAACCCAATTCCCATATGTATGGGGTAAGGGGGAGGTAGGGTAGTAGGCTGCCCCCAACGCCAGGTTGAGAATAGCTTCCGTGAAAGACCTCCGGCACTCAGAAAATTAAAAATATAGATTTTTAACAAAATTATCTAAATCAAATATTACAACCCATGATTTGATTCAAAAGTGATGGTCCATACCTCTTGAACCCTTGTGCAAAATGAAATTGCGGGCCTCTTACATGGGCTATTCCACAAGCCGTCGATACTATGGACGGTGAGGAGGCCGCACATAAAAGCCTGTTTATGGGCCGGTTAGCTTATCCCGGCAAACCTATCCGTATGAATTAAATTCAAATAATAAAAATAATATTTATTTAAATTTAATAACAAAAACAGATAGTAATAATATAAAATTAGGGTAAAGTACACAAATGGTCTCCGGGCTATAGGACATTATTTTATTGAGTCATTTGACTATTAAAAGTTGCAAAATGATCATTCGATTATAGGGTGTTGCTTTGTTGATTCACTCGACTATTCATATGTTTCAAACTCATCCTTTTTCGTTAAAAAAGTTGACAATCGTCTGAGCTGGATGTTAATCTGCTGGATGAGGTATGATAGTTATTTGAGATTCAATGATTATATTTTATTGTATCACAGTCAACATGTTAACGTTCAACAGTGGTGGATCTAGAAATTAAAAAATAGGTGTCCAAAATTTTAACACTCTATTTAAAAAAAATGTGGGTATGCAAATTTCTTAATTTTTCCCTATTTCCATTAACAAATTAAATTTAATTTAACATTTTTTTCTCCAAATAATGGGTGTGCAATAGCTCCCCTACCATGTACATCTGCCTCTGATGTCTAGCTTAGATTGTCATCAATCTTTTAATGAAAAATGACGAGTTTGGAACATATAAATAGTCGATAATTATTTTGTAACATTTAATAATTGGGGACTCATCAAAGCAACATCGATCATTTTGTAACATTTAATAGTCAAAAGACTCAACAACGTAGCACCCTATAGTCAGGGGACTATTTGTGTACTTTACCCATAAAACTAAACATTCAAGATTTTATTAATTTTAAATAATGGACATGAGGAACATGCTCATATGATTGAAAAAGAAAAATCCAGGTTATGTGGAAGATGCTAGGTGTAAACTGTAAAGGGTATAAGATCAACGTGGATCTCTACTTTAAAGCAGTAATTTTTATTACGTGTTAGCTTAAAAAGATATTCGAATCAATAAAGTAGAATAAACCCAAAGGCTTCAGTCAACAAAAGTCGATCAACTTATAAAAGCAATCTGTGTGCTTCTCAACTTCAAGCGGTAGCTTTTTAGGTTTTAGCATGTACCTAACCCTACTAACATATCTTAGGGTCTGTTTGTTCCTTGGAATTACAAAATTGGTTTTCCCTGAATTTTCGTGTTTGTTTTACGTAATTCGTTTTTCGAAAAATATTTTTCCGTGTTTGTTTCACGTAATTCATTTTCCGAAAAACGTTTTCCCGTGTTTGTATCACGTAATTCGTTTTTCGGAATGTAATTCATTTTCCTAGTAACAAAATTTCTTTTGTGTTTTCTGTAAAATGACTTACAAATTCATTTTCCGTGAGTCATTTTCCGAACTTTTCACTTCAAAGCAAAAATACTCAAAATAATTTTATTTTATGAATTTAATATTAATAAAATATTTTAATATCGTTTTCATCAAAATATTAATTATTAAAATATTTAAAATATATTTATTAATATTTATAATAATATAATATTATATTTTTAATATTATATAAAATAATCAATTATATTATAATAATAAAAGATATTATATTTTTATTTTAATAATATATAATAAATTTTTTTATATTTAATAATGAATAATATTATTTATATATTTCAATAATATTTTAGTAAAGATATTTAAAATATACTAATATTTTTAAAATATAATATAGCACTATTACTTTAATAAATAATTAATATAATTTATAATATTTTATTTCACTAAAATATACCAATATTAATATTTTTATTAATAAAATTATAAAAATAATATTTAATAATAAATAAATTATTTTAATATTTTAAAATAATAATATTAAGTTTTATGATAAATAATATTATTTATTATATTTAATATTTGTAATAAATAATTTTTAAAAAACTCTTCAACTAGTGAAAAAAATGTTTAAATAACATCTTCCAAACATCATAAAACGTTTTCCAGATGTTTTTCAGAAATGTAATTCATTTTCCAGAAATGTAATTCATTTCCCAGAATTCAAATTCCAGTAATTCATTTTCTGGAAAACCAATTACAGCTAAACAAACAGACCCTTAGTTTTTATATATTATAATTTTATTTTAAAAATATATTTTTATACATTTTTTGATGCCTACACAATTTATATGATTGAATAATTTTCATATTGCTATTATTTTCTCTTATTTTTAATATCTAATTATATTTCATATACCATTTTAATTAAATTAGAATCTTGAAGGTAATATTATTAAAAAGAATAATTATTAATCCTAAAAACAATATATAAAATAAATATGAAAAAACTAAAAATAAAGATTGATTCAAATTAATCCTCCAATTAAATGAATAGAATAAACTAATACAAATAATCAAATATTAATGCTATAGTTTAAAAATTTGACATTTATTGTTTATAAAAGTACATTAAAACTACTATTTTTTTCATTCACGATTCAACTCTAAATAAAAGGGTAAAGTACATAAATGGTCCTCTTACTAGAGTTTATAACTTTATTAAGTCATTCGACTATTAAAAGTTATAAAATGATCATCCAACTATAGAGTGTTACTTTGTTGAGTTCATGGACTATTAAAAGTTAAAACTAGTCACATGACTATTCACTATGTTCCAAACTTGTCATTTTAAGTTAAAAATGGACGATATTCTAAGATAAACTTTAACACGTTAACTATGATATGATAAAATCTGATTCCAAAATTTTAAACTACTATCATATCTCATTCATCATGTGAACATCCAACTTAAACACTCACCATTTTTTTTGAATGAAAAAAGACAGCTTTGGAACATAATGAGTAATCGGTGACCATTTTGTAACTTCTAAAAGTCGAGGGACTTAACAAAGTAATATTCTATAATTGGAGGATCATTTTGTAGCTTTTAATATTTGAGGGACTTCATAAAACAATACTCTATAGTCTCGGACCATTTATTTACTTTACCCTAAATAAAAATATATCTTTTGTAGAATCATAACATGATCTTAATCATTGCTAAATAATATAGTCTAATTGACTCATAATTACCATTTATTTTATTAGTATAGGTTGATTATAAGTGGTAATATATATTTTAAATTCTCAATCATTTGATAATGAACGTCTAAATCTTGCGATCATTAATGTTATGATCCAAAACCTTTAAGGATACTAACTATCCCTTTAACTATGTTAACTATTGAGTTAATTTTATTTGTGCCTCCTAATTATCCTTTTAAGAACACGTACGTGCGACATTTTTTAGATTTATGTAAAGGTAAATGAGTTTCAATTATTTGATTCATGCACCAAGAGTGGTCCAAAATTCATATAAACGTAAAGTCGGAAAAATCTTAAAAATACGATCACTTTCCAGTACTAAACAGAACAACAAGAAAAAAACAACAAAAATTTTCTTATATATATTACTACCAAACACTGCACTAACTCTTCTTACACTAAAATAATATGGTTTTTTAAAACAAACCATTTCTTTTCTTCTTCGTCCCCTTAGTTTGCAAAAGTATTAATATATCCCAAAAGTAATTAAACCCACCATTATATATGTGTGCGTGTGTGTGTTTTTAAGCATGTTTAAGTGATTAATGGTGGGGTTTGATCGGACATGACAGTGACGACATTATTGCATGGCCATGCAGATGAAAACTGCTGCAAGTGCTTCAACATCAGAATCTGATGTATGTCCGATAATTTTTTTCGGAGAATACTGTGTTCGGATCGGAGTCGATCGTTGTCCGTCGTTACACGGTGACAGTGATAAAGAACAGACCTCAGCCGGTTTGTCAATTCTCTGTTCTCGGCTCGAAGCCGGTTCACCTGGTTCCTTAAGTTTTCTAAGTGCCTCTGTTTACGCATCCGTGACCTCCTGGCCGATTCCCGGTTGGATATCATGCGTCTCCTCTTCCGTTCGTCGACGACGGAGGAATCCGGTTGGTTCGGTTCTTCCGAGCCACAGTTCGAGTTGTTTTTGTCTGGGGTTAGTTCATCTAAAACGGAACCCAATATTGCGTCGGGTTCTATTGTTTGGAAAGTGGAGAAAAGTTCCGGGCAATGATCCCACGGCGTGAAGCCGTTTTCAAAAGCCGGAAACTGACTGTTGTTGAACTTTGAACCGGAGGAGAACATGGCTTTAGTACTACTAATAATAACAATTATGGAAACAAAAAAAAAATAAAAAATAAAAATCGAAAGCTTCTAAAAATGTCAGGGAAATGGAGGAAAGGAGGAGAAAAGGGAAGAAAGGCTGCGTAGGAGGCTCATATTTATGGCCGAACCTGAGGGGTATTGTGGGCTCCACATTATTGCATGAATAGTACAAATCAAGGGTATTGTGGTAAATACATTATATTTTTATACACACGTATAAATTATAAACCGTACATGTATAGATATTAACTTCTGAGTCAGGTGCAACTACGTAAACGATAGGGAGTACTTGGTTTCGTAAGCAATTTGGTTCCATTAACAAAAAAAAAAAAAATCAAGTTTACATAAATTATTTCATGTATGACTCTCAACTTGGCAAATTTTAAAACTTTAATCTAAAATCTTAACTTATATAATAGGTCTATCGTAAGTAATATATTTAATTTTATATAAAAAAAAAAGTTATACTAGCCGATGATTTCATTTTTGCTTAATCACGAAGAAACAAAATAGTGTGGGATCCATGGTAGACACGTGACGGATTATAATAGGAGGAGTATGAGAATAGCCAATAAATTGGGAGAATGCTGATGTGGAGCGAAGCATGAGAGGAAAAGGCTTTGGATTATTTAATTGATAACATATCGAAAGTGTTAAAATGTTTTCTTAAACTACCGCCTATTACTCATTTTCCCCTTTAGTTATTTATCTAAAAATATAATAGCATTATATCTTACTTTTTGACGTTTTTACCGAAAAATCACCATAATATTGAAAAATCCTCTCTTTGACACCCTTTCACTAAATTTTCCTGATCTAATACTCATTTAAAATAAGGCGTCTTTGGTGAAACGCGCTTACGCTTGCGTGGCACGAAGGCACGTCCGATGAGAAGCACCTATGCCGAGTCAGTCAACGGAACCCATGAAAGACGCGTTTGATGAGGCACGCCTTTTCCCCCACCCCGTCGATCCTGCCTATTCCCCTCCCATCCCCTATATAAACCCCGGTAGCTCATACAAACCGCATCGAAAATTATTTATTCTTTCCATCTATTACTTTATAGTCTTTAAGGTATATTGTTATTTTTTATTCAATAAATTTATTATTATTTTATTACATAATTTTTATTATTTGATTATTTAATTGTAATCTTATTTAATTTATATTTATTATGAGATATATTAAAATCGATAAAATTAAAATACACGTACTAATGACATAATTTGATAATGAATGAAATATGGTTTTGACTGATATCTTTTGTATATGTATAGTTTGTAAAATTCCTCCTCTGTTGGACACATAAAAGCCCATCCGAAGCAATATGTGTAGTATTCTCATTGAAGCTGTGTTATTTGGGCATGGATATGAGAAAATAACCCAAATAATAAGTTAGGCCTTCAAAACTCTTTTAGACCCAAAAGCCCAACAAATCCCAGTTAACCCTAATTTCCCACCATATATGTTTCTCAAAACCCTAGTTTCCCCGCGTGCACCATTATCTAGCTAGATCCTATTCCCTTTCGCCCGCAGCAAAAATGAAGTACAACCCGCGCGTGTCCTCCTCTCGCCGCAAGAGCCGCAAGGCCCATTTCACGGCGCCTTCGTCTGTACGCCGCGTCTTGATGAGCGCGCCACTTTCATCGGATCTGAGGTCCAAGTACAACGTCCGGTCCATGCCCGTACGCAAGGACGACGAAGTCCAACTCGTTCGCGGAACCTACAAGGGCCGTGAAGGGAAAGTGGTTCAAGTTTATCGCCGCAAGTGGGTGATCCATATCGAGCGCATCACTCGTGAGAAAGTGAACGGTTCGACCGTAAATGTTGGAATCAACCCATCGAAGGTTGTCATTACCAAGCTGAGGCTTGACAAGGACCGCAAGTCCTTGCTGGATCGTAAGGCCAAGGGACGTGCCGCCGCCGATAAGGACAAAGGCACCAAGTTTTCTGCTGAGGATATCATGCAGAGTGTCGATTAAGGTTGTCTCTTGTTTCCTTTTCACCATATGATGTAGAAGCTGTTGGACTTGATTGTAGCTTTTTTTTTGTTTCTTAATACGTTGAAGAATCTGGGATTTTGTAGACTTGATAATGCTATATGTTGCTATTTTTGTTATAATGTTTCCTTTTTTTTCCTTCAGATTTTTGCTGGGTTTTTTAATTGAGCTCTTTAGAATGATTTTCTCAATCGTTTGCTTCGAGCTCTAGTATTGTTTTGATAGTGAGGCATGGGTTGTTTGATTATCTTTTGAATTTTGATATAATGTTCTTGAGTAATCTTCAACATTGGGCCAATTTTATAATCTTGAATTGCAGATTGATATACAAATCACCTGAGCTTCAGTTCTATTGAGTTGCAGAGAAATTAGCAATAGGATTTCAGTTTGCTCGTTATTAGTTGTTTTTAAAACCATTAACAGTGTTATCAAGGCATCTTGTTCCACAAAAGCGCCAACCCTTTCAGACCAAGCTCTTAAATATAGTACGAAAACTTGCACATATACATATCGCACCGTCAGGTCACTCTGGCTAGTGTTTTTTTTCACATTGTGTCTGGGGCAATATAAAGGTTTAAATTCCTGTAGTGTTCCTTGACGACATTGCATTAACATTAAGAATTGTTAGAATTTAAGGTTATATAGATTTCCTCTTTGTCCTTAGGAAGCTTGGATTTAGAAAATGTAACCTAAGTTCCTTGATTTGTATTGCTATAAGGCACAAAATTGTTGTTTTGTTTGATTCCTTTTGCACTGTGTATTAATCATATGCTCAACAAACATACACCATTGGAGTGCTGGTTAATCACCAAAAGAGTCTGAAAATGCTTCATCATCAAGTGTTTATCAGTAGGCCTAGCTATTATATTTGTATTAGTTCTTCCTGTCGTGTTTTGCATCATCTTATAGTTAATTTTTACGAGTTGTGTAATTGCGTTTTGTCCTATCTGCTTATAGTTGATTTGCATGCTGAAACCTTTTTTCATTTTTAAAATAAGATTTTAGTTTTGGGACATGTCTATTTCCAATGGAAGATGGTTAAGTTAAATTTGAATTATGGGTCATTTTCAATAAAAGCAATTGGAAATGTGGAAAGAACAGAGACAATTTGTTGGTGCCATTTTTGTGTTCGGAAAAATTGTCCTACGATGGTTACAAGGACAGTGAGATGGCATCTAAGCTCAGTGGTTGCACCCAACATAGATACAGAAGAAAGGGGTAAAGCTCTTGAGTTTATCAAAAATTGCTGTGCCTGAAAGTTGCTGGTTTTAGCTTTATATTAGGTTGTGTCCCAAGACCATCGTTTTTTAGTCTTTTATTAGGTTCCCGTAGAGCACAATCATCCTGATGTTCAATAGCAAATGGTAAATGCTGATGAAGATGGCATTCGCAGAGCGGCAGTAGAATGATTTTATTTACATACTTTATCCAAGTCAGTTTTGCTGTATCGTCAGTCCTATTAAAACCTATGAATATTTTTGGAGAGTTAAAACCGTAGTAGTCATACTGCGATGGTACGATCCATTGAGACGTCCGATACATAATCGAAATTAAATTATGCTGAAGCTATTGTTTGTTGTAAAATAACACCATTGATGCAATCTGGTTTATGTAAAATTAAGCAAATTAAGATTATTATTGTTTTTATCATTTTGAATAGTTTGAGGTAATTATAAAATAATATTTGTTTAAGAGATTTTTTAAACAACCGTTGACAACGAACACATCCTTTATGAATAAAAAAAAAGAAATTATAATTTATTCAGAAAAGTGTTAGAATATTATTTTTAATATTAGGATTTAACTCTAATTGGTTATCATAATATTATGTTCCAATCTACTACACGAGTTGTTGGAACCAACAAATAATAATTTTTGTACAAAAAATTAATCAAATGATAAGACTAACTAAAATATACGTAATAAGATTTAGAAATTTTAAATAAAGAGAAATAGTATTGGTAAATAATTATTCTTATAAACCGGACCGCTGGTTCGATTCATTTACCCGGATACTATTATTCTTTGGCTCCAAAACCGTTAATGAAACAATCGAAACAAAGTAGCGGCAACGCCTGACCGTCCGTTTCGCCAGACGTGAAAGATGAAAACAATTGATCCAAGCCGTTTATATGAAAACGGTTATTTTCCTTCTTTTTTTCAATAGACAAAGGATTGCGGTGAGACAGACGTGAAAGTTGGAAACTGAAATTATTGGTGATTTGACTTAACTAACACCCTATAAACTTAATATACCCGATATAACACCCTTCGACTAATATTTTCTTAACTAACACCCTTCGACAGAGGTGGTAAAGACGCGTTTCCAGGGATGCGCTTTCCAGCACGTGCAAAAATTGGGTGCTAATATTATAAATATTTTTAACATAATGCCTAATATGTAATTAAATATGTAAAAACGTCAACTTTATTTATTTATTTATTTTTATTGTAAAAAAACTTTCTACATTAAAATATTTAAATATTCTATTACAAATTATTTTATAACTCGATAAATTTTGATTTTTGCATGAAATTACACAATACATATAATTTAGTATATTAAAACTTTGAGGGTAAGTACTTTAAAATATTAATAATTTTATAAAAGTTTTGTAACTAGTATTTTTTTTATAAAATGATGATGATGATTATGATGATAATAAATATTTTATAATTAAAATAATTATAAATTTCATATATATATATATTTTTAAAATATTGACTTTTAAATTAATTGTTTAAAAATATAAAAAATATTAAAATAAAATTTTAATTACAATTGAGGGATCAAATGAATTATTATTCATTAATTATTAATTTTTAACAACAATTAATAATGTTTATTCATTTTTAATAAAATTAGAATTCAATAAAAAAGAATGTAAAGCTAAAAAAATATCACATCTTTATTTAAAATATTCTTTCTAATATTAATTTTAAAAAATATAAAATAAATATTAAATTCTAATGAAAAGAATGTAAAACTAAAAA